CCCGACCGGAGTTTTTGTGGCCACGTGCACAGAGGCAGATTAAAGTCACCCAGTATCATAATTGGTATATCAGAAGAAAAAAATAGATACTTTCCAAGGCATGACAATAAATATCCATAGATGTAGCAAAAAAGACAGCCGAAAGAGAACTAATTGGTGCAAATATGCAATTGATAGTAAGAGTTTGGAAGCGTAATCCAGCTGTAGAATCAGATACTCTAAATTAAAGGAAACATCCGATAACATATCATACGAGAACTGATTTTTTAACCAGATAAGCAATCCACCTTTCCGCACTGTTCCACTCTTCATAAAATCACAATCTTAACAAATATAACTATATCTTGAAATATGAAGGGCAGCGTCATGCACTGATAAAGACTTCCAACTTTGACTTAAGACTGCCTACTTTTTGATAATACTATGTGACAAGGCCTTGGCTGACACGGCCGACCCTGTCTGACTCGCTTTCTCTCCCGCGACTCACTCCTTCGCTGTGGCCATGGTGAGCGTGATAAAAATCAAGAACCATTACCGATGTCCACAACGCTTTATTTCAGGACCAATACCTGTAGTTGGCATCGTTAATGGGAGCCAATTGCGAGCGAGAGTGGCAGCGTTGAAAAGAGAGTGAAAAGATACGTTGCGTAAATGAGAGAACGAGCGCAAGTGACCCGCGGCGTTCCGCTCGCGAGAGCGAAGCCGCCGGCGTTGCTCGAGCTGGCATGCGCGCGGTGAAGAGAGAGAGAAGAGTTCGAGCTCGGCATTCGATCAGAGGGTATCGACGGTGACGGCCGAGAGCGCGCGCGCTAAAGAAGAGAGAGCCATTGATTCCCAAAATCGCTGATTGCAGAGCAGCAAGATCCAGGAATAAGGACGACACTAGGCATAGAGGGGCGAGGAAAGATTATCGTTCAGGGTACGGAGACTTCGAGCCAGCCTGCTATCAACCTGCCAGTAATTGCAGCATTAGTTCAGTCGGCAGCCTTCTTCAGGTCAGGCCGTCTCTCTCTTTCTGACCTTTTATTCGCGATTGTGTGAGACGACGGCGAAGTGCTCGCGATCGTTCGTGAGCACGGCGATTACGGCAAAGTCCATCCTTCGTCACCTGTCAAAACTGTTATTGTACCGTGCCTCCGTGCATTCTTCCGCATGAACGAAAGCATGCGGCCACAGAGAACGACGCGTAAATCCGCGTCGTCTTTATTTTTGTATGAGTTAACGGAATAAATATAATCGAAGATGATTGAGAGTCATTTCTGTGTGCTCCCGCCATTCCCGTCCTCTCGAGCTAACATCCAGCCCGTCAACTTCGTGACGAAGCCCATCGTCACATTTGCAGTGGAGTGAATAAGCCTGTCGCACTTTCCCCTTAAAAATAATTAGTAGCACGGCGCTTGAGTACTAGCCTAATGTATGGCTAGTGGGGATAATCGAGTACAATTCTTTCCCTTATGCGTTTAATAAATCGTAATCTTACGACTGAGCTCTACTAAAGAAGATGAAGTGGTTGCATTTATTGGTTTTCTTCAGAAGTAACTTTTCAAACGCCGTTTATTGTTCTTATCCTAAGATTTTTTTTCACCAGCACGCTGACGTGCATTCATTTCATCAATACATCTTTTCAGCTGCTCACGTTGTTTCATAGTCCGATCCGGACCACTCTTGACTCCTTTGATAACGATATTCCGACACATCATGTTGTAAAGACGCCATTGTTCAATAAATTCAACAAAATATATCACATACAATGTTGATAATATCGCAAGAAGCAAAAACACAAATTACATATTTAAAGCAAAACACAAATAAAAATAGTCACTATTAAAATTCACAATATGCAAATAAAGACAAAATTATTAGACAAAAAGTCAATAAATAATGTAAGCAATATTGTATCACCAATGAACAATTAAATAAAGTCCAAGATAAATTAAGACAATAAGGCATATTAGAGATATAGAATGAATTGAAATCACTAATTTCATAAAAATAAAGCGTACCGGTAGTTAAGTCATTTATTTTTCATTCTCGCTCATTAAATATTTACTTTAATAGTGTAATGCGGAGTATCGTGTGGTGTAGCCGCGAATTTGAAAATTACCTTATTTGTTTAATTAAGTTTAAATAGTTTGTAAAAAGAGCCTATACACTTAGGTAGACACATACAAAAAAACATAATCTTCTTTTGTACTTTTAACACACAACAGTTACATGTTTTTCTTTATTTAATAAATGGCTTATTTATTATCCCTAATATTGTCTTTCAACTTCCTTGGTCTATCTTGCTTATTTCTCATTGAACCTTGAGGCGGATATTATTTAAATTCGGAATCGTTTTAGACAAGATACGTTTACTCTCAATATTTAAATCCGATAATATGCTGTCGAAGTAATCTACGACCTAAAATAAAGAGGCTGTGTTAAACAAAGATTGGTTCTCGAGGATTTGATTATTTGCTTATCTTGATCCCATAGAGTAAATATACGAGATGTGTTCAAAAAGTAAGGTGACTTTTCAAATTTCACGGGCAACGTACTTTCGATTATCGATTTTATTGATTGTTATGTTGGTACACTCTTCCCGAACATCTGTACCAAGTTTCAAGAGTACAGCATTTTTTGTTTGGTTGTGAGAAGCGTAAAGGTTATAAGTGTTTTGCGTGCTCGGCGATTTCTTGCTATCGAAAAATATGGATCAAAGGATTTGCATCAAATTTTGTGTAAGAAATAAAATAAAGTGCTCCGAAACACTTGAAATGTTGACGGTGGCATACGGTGAAACTGTTCTGAGTAAAAAAAATATTTACAAGTGGTACAAACTCTTCTAAGATGGCCAGGAAGATGCCAATGACGAACCTCGCTCCGGACGCCCAAGCACGTCAACAACTGATGAAAACGTTCAAGCAGTGAAGAAAATTGTTCTGGAAAATCGTCGAATCACTATCAGAGAAGTTGCTAAGGATGTTGGTATATCGCTTGGCTCGTGCCATGAAATTTTTTCTAACGTTTTGGGCATGAAACGTGTGTCAGCGAAGTTTGTTCCGAAATTGCTAAATTTTGACTAAAAGAACCGTCGCATGAGCATCGCTAAAGAACTGTTGAATGACGTCAACGACGACCCAGATTTACTCAAAAGAGTCATAACTAGTGACGAATCATGGGTATATGGTTATGATATCGAAACCAAAGTCCAATCGTCCCAATGGAAGAGCCCAGATGAGCCAAGACCGAAAAAAGCATGCCAAGTTCGATCAAATGTCAAAGTTTTGTTCACTGTTTTCTTCGATTACCATGGCGTGGTGCATCAGGAGTTCTTACTATATGGACGTACGGTCAATAAACAGTATTATCTTGAAGTTATGCGCCGTTTGCGAGAAGCAATACGAAGAAAACGCCCAGAATTGTGGAAAAACAATTCATGGCTTTTGCATTACGATAATGCCCCTGCTTACTCATCTTTCCTTGTGAGAGATTTTTTGGACAAAAACAACACCACAATCATGCCTCAGCCGCCATATTCACCGGATTTGGCCCCATGTGACTTTTTCTTGTTCCTAAAACTAAAGAGACCTATGAAAGGACGGAGATTTGCAACGATTGAAGAGATAAAGACTGCATCGCTAGAAGAGCTCAAGGCTATACCGAAAAGTGCTTATGAGAAGTGCTTTGAGGATTGGAAAAATCATTGGCATAAGTGTATTGTATCTGAGGGGGATTACTTTGAAGGGGACAAGATAAATATTGATAAATAAATAAATATTTTTTCTTAAAAATACAAAGTCACCTTACTTTTTGAACACATCTCGTATTGTCGAAATTTGTCCTGAACTACGGATGACTATTCAACGGATTACTCGCGAATATTCTAATGCTTTATCTCAGAGTGCCACTCTGAGATTCAATTTATTTAATATTATAAAATAGTAGTGCCTGGCGTCCAACTTGATTTTATGATGATAGGAAACTGGTAGAGTCGCGTGCTTTCATCTATGGTTCAATATTTAAGGGGACCTATCAATCTGACAGTCCAAAAAAAATCGATTTTTCAAGAATTTTTTTCTCAGCAACTGCTGCATATAATCAAATGAACCTTTTTTCCTCTTAAAGGTATGATTCGAAGGAACAAAAAAAAATTTTTTTAATTTGATAAAATGTTTATTTATTTATTTATAAAATAATTAGGCAACATGGAAAAAAAAGTTGTTCGTTGGCGTGCATAATTCTGGCTGTTCTGGTCATCTGAAACAGAAATTTCAAAAAGTTTCTTAAATTGTTATGTAAATTGAAGGTAATGAACCTCTGAATAATTATTTTATAGAAAATTAACAAAATGGCGGCGTGTCTCGCAAAAGTGGAAAAAAAGGTCTTTTTTTTGTACGATTAATCGTGTGTAACTTTGGTTAGGTTCAAGCAAACATTTGTTAGAGATTCATTCCCTGCATTTTATAATTCTGAACATTTTCCAAACAGATTCAAGTCGATACGATCAACCGTTCTTGAGTTATCGTGCACGCCCGTTACAAAAAAGTGGTTTTGAGAAAAACGCGCGCTGGTAGCTCTCACTTTTGAAGCAGTAAAATCGGGTAATAAGGAAGAATTCGACCAAACCGACTGTGGGACATCAATTCTGGAGGTAAGTACTATCGAAAAATGCAAAAAAAAAATCGATTTTTTCAACCCGTCACATTGAAAGGTCTCCTTAAACAACTCGAACAATTTACTCGCGGTTCTCATCCTCACTGTACTGATATATATAAGCATATATCTGAACTAGCGCTTTAGTTTTGATAACACTATTCCTCATTTTCGGGTGTATGGCAGCTTGGCAGTAAGAAAAACTCAGAATGGATCATTACGAGTACAATAGTCTTATAAAGTTCTATGTCAAAAGCTATGTAGAACTATAAATGTTAAAGTTATATTAAAGTAAACGGACTGGAATATACTCCGAAACTTTTTCGATTTGAATTACCTTTAAAATAATATACTATACTTACGAGCAATAGTAATAACAGTAGAAACGTATGATGTGATTAAAATTAAAAGTGGTAGAATAAACATAAAAATTAGACTCAATGTAGTATACAACTGCTCTTGCCAAGACTCAGTGTAAAAACCATAAGTTACGCATTGCGAAAATTTTTCGACAAATGGTCCTTGAGCAACATGAAATATCACCACCTGGAATCATAAAAAAACTAAAGAATCATAGAGTACTCAGTAATGATATTATATCAATACTTAAAATAAGACAGTCGATTATCAGCAAATAGTCATAAATAGCATGATGAAATTATTTCAAATTTTAGCTTTCAAACACTTATTAGTATACAAGGTGGTTCTACTTAGATACTTTTTATTCTAAGTTTTATTCTTTCGTTTTAACTATACATCAATATCTTTAAAGAGTTTTAAGCAACAGAAACAAAAGATAAACAGCCCACGTATTATTCGAAGGTCTTCGCCATTTAGCAACACAAAATAAAGTAAAAACGTTATGCAGCGAGCAATAGTAGGGAAAAAGAGAATGAAAGTTGTTGAATTAAAAATTAGTAAGTTCGTTGCTCAAAAATAAGAAATGAAATAGCACGGCTGTTAAAGATTCTAGCAATAAAATCATTTAGGAAATAAATAGGCTATACGAATACACACTTATCCCCTATATTTCTTCGTTTCGGTTTGTCTAAATTTCTTGCATGTATGCAAAGTCTCTTGTTTCAATTTAAAAAAAAAAATACTTTTTAATATCACAAAATCACAACTGTCTGCAACAACCTGTTTACAAGGTACTAAAAAGATGTAGTTAGTAGTTGTGTTGCTGTCAACACTTGAATATCGACTGACTAATCGTAGCAGCTGACTACACGAGCATGACTGACTGTAGTTGTGTGAGGAGGTACAAGAGAGACGGAGGACGGGAAGAAACAAGAGAGGCTGAGAAAGGACAGTAACCAGAGAGACAGAACCAGGGAAAGGTCAAGAGAAATGAATAGAATCATCTTGAATTCACAGTTCTATCTGCTCATCACCCGCCACTATTCGCTGAACCGGCAGCGCGGGCCAGCGTATCGTTGCTATACCGCTCGAGCGTACGTATAGTCGACACTTTCTTTCTCCTACAAAAATCTAGCAGCTACTACACAGGCTCTGCATTGCATTCTAACTACACTGCTTTCCATACAGATACCTTCCACATAGAATAAAAGAAAGTCCACTTTAGATCTACACTTTACAATCCGGTGAGTATATCATCAGTAAATTATATCATAGTAGAGGCTTCTCTTTTGTATGCAGAATTGTACGCGTTCTGTTATGAGATCCTTGGTTATAAATCAAAATAAATGGTTGTCAAGTAATTTATCGTTATCTAAATCTGTACCAACGTATTCACTTTGCTTATTATAGGTTAGAATATTGCAGGTCTGCGAGCGCTCCTCTCACGAATGAACAACAAGAGTAAGAAATAGGAGACTACGCTATGCTACGCCCAATCGAGAGACCGGAATCTTTGCTAGAAAAAGCGTCTAGTTAAATTTCAGATCAGCAAGAGAACTTGTTCGCCACCCGGACCAGCACCTTCAACATAGACAAGGAGTGAGACCGAGAATGCAGTTCCAGTATCTAACAGTTTACTTTTCGGTGAGTCTGTAATTATATTTCTATCATTATCAGCCTTTTTCTTTATACCTCAGCTGTCGTGTACTTTCTCGAAACTTGTACATTCCTAATCTAGCCTCTCTCTCATATTTTACTCTAACTGTATGGAAAATTGATTGATTTTTCACTCTATTATATAATAGTAGGTCCACCATTGATAAATGGCCGATATAGTAGCGCGATATGTCGGCAACATATGGATCAATATTGTTTACCGACTGACGGTAAGGACGGAACTAAAGCTCGTATGGTAAGTAGCTTAGGATCTCCATAACTACTACTGCTATTATGCAACGACTCAGGGTTCCGCCTATAATTGAAAAATACTGGACTAGAACGAAGAACCTCGTGGATGGCAGTATTATAAGCAAAAGCAAATTCACCAATATGCTCATGCTACTTATTATACTTTTCAGCAATAAACGCCACAATCATAGTTTTCATCGTTCGATTTACTCGCTCTGTCGGATTGGATTTGAGGAAATAAGGAGCGCAAGTTCTATGACAGATACCACAAACTTATAAAAAATTACTAACTATGGTGTTCTAGAAAGGTGTGTGATTATCCGAGAAAAATCTATCAGGAATTTCAAAGCGTAAGAAAATTTCTCTGATGTAATGCTCTTTTAATAGTCTTAATATTGACTTTACGAATCGGAATGCACGTGATCCACCTAATGAATATATCCATGAAGATGAGCAGATGTTCTTAGCCTTGGGGCAATCTCGGGAAGGCATTATAGTGTCCACACAGATGATTTTCCATGAACGGGTGATCAGGTATTTGCCCATAAGTTCGGGAGGGGCATTTTACTCAACTTTAATTAGTTGGTAATCTAGACAGTTGCGAATAAAATGTGCGATGTCTTTATACAAGCTAGGCCAATAATAGCATAGGACTGCTCTTTTGTGGGTTTTGTAATCTATGTGGCCGGCCGTTGTCTCTTCGAGGCATTCGATAATGACCTCCTCGTCTTGTGTTCGCGGAACTACGAGCTTCCACGCATTATCGTCACCAATCAGATCGTCTACCAACGGGTCGGGTCGGTAAATAAACAAACGCCCGCCCGCAATTTTCTAGTAAGGGTACATTTTCGGGCTCTAGATGGTCAGCTTGTACCAGAAATTCTTAACGTTATCGTCGATGGCAAGAGAAGCTAAGAGCCAAAAGAGCTGTCCTCACCAGTCTTATACATGTATGATAGCGTATTGGGTACAATATTACCTTTACTCTTATGGTGCACGATATCAAATTCATAAGCCTAAAGGCGTAATAGCTGTTGACTGAGTTTGCCATTCGGGTTTTTTAGATTTTGTGACCACACTAGGCTATAGTGATCGCTTACTACAGTGAACCGGTAACCTTCAATGAATGTTCGAAACTTTTCGATCGATCAGATGACATCGAGGCATTCTCGCTCTGCCAATAATAGACGTTGTTTAGTAGCCGTTCAAACGTGACTAGCAAAGTACAAAACGCGATCCTCTCCGTCAATCTTTTATGAGTGATGTGAGAGGTTTGCAGAGTATATAGCATAGGTTTGCAGAAACTTTCTGTATCATGAGGTTATACCAACCCAACGGTGTAAATATCTTAAATTCCGTGGCGCCGGGAACTCCAAAATAACCTGAACTCTTTTAAAATCAGGATGACAGCCATATTTATTCACAAGTACGCCGAGATTTCGTAATTCAGACATACAGATCTTCGACTTTTCCTTGATTATGGTCAGATTTGCTACTTCTATTTTTCTCAAATTTATCGCGAACTGTATCACGTTATCGGCGAAAGTGTTAGTCGCGATAATCAGGTTACCTAGATAGGCGAAGGCATAAGGCTCCATTTCAGGCGTGAGCATTGCCCAAGAGCTACTGAATGACGTCAACGATGATCCAGATTTACTCAACAGGGTTATAACAGGTGACGAAACATGGGTATACGGTTATGACATCGAGACTAAGACTCAATCGTTCCAGTGGAGGTATTCTGGATCACCAAGACCAAAAAAAGCACGCCAAGTTCGATCAAATGTAAAGGTTTTGCTTACAGTTTTCTTTGATTGCAGGGGCGTGGTGCATCATGAGTTCTTGCCACAGGGTAGAACAGTAAATAAGGAATATTACCTGCAAGTTATGCGCAATTTGCGAGAAGCAATCCGCCAGAAACGTCCGAATTTGTGGAAAAATAAAAATTGGCTTTTGCACCATGATAACGCCCCTGCTCACACATCGTTGCTTGTGCGCGAATTTTTGGCTAAAACCAACACAGTAACGATGCCACAGGCACCGTATTCCCCAGATCTCGCCCCCTGTGACTTCTTCTTGTTCCCAAAACTGAAGAGGCCCATGAAAGGACGGCGTTTTGCCACGATTGAGGAGATAAAGACGGCATCGAAGGATGAACTAAACAAGATCACAAAAAATGATTTTTTGAAATGCTTTGAGGATTGGAAAAAGCGTTGGCACAAGTGCATTATATCCGAGGGGGATTACTTTGAAGGAGATAAAATAAAAATTGATGAATAAATAAATATTTTTTGAGAAAAATAAAAATTCACCTTACTTTTTGATCACACCTCGTATATGGGCCATTCTAATACTTTTCGAAAAAATCGTGCGCACTCATGTCACCGATTTTGACGCCAATTTTTTTACGTACTCTACATATAAAAATAAGACTACTTGAATTTTTTCAGATTTTTTAGCCCAATCTGGGGTCCCTAGAATTTATAGAAGCCCCAAAATTGAGCAAAGATTTAACGAAAAATGGTCATTTTCAGAGTGTCACAGAATCGCGAGTTTTTAAGTTTCAGAATCGCGCGATAGCTCATTCTCTTAGTCTTTCTGAGCAGTTTTCAATGGTTTATTTATAAATTAGTTTATCGAATCTAAAAGCTTCACAACAGCCAATAATGTAAAGCATACTTTATTCGAAATTTGCTGATCTTTGAAACCCTGTAGAATCGTCAATTTTTGAAATTTTCTTACGTATAAAAGCTCAATTTGTTCGTCTTGTTAAGACTAAAAAATTAAGCTGTCGCGCGTTTTTTTACGTTGAAAATTGACGAAAATACGTCCAGTCAAAGTAGATCAAAGGTACGAAAAATGACGATTTTAGCTAAATTCAGCCTCCTATAACTTTTTTGTCGCTACTTCAAATTGGCTGAAAATTCGACAGGATCTTTCCGAAACCTCCCCAAACAAAATTATATGAGTTTGGTTTTGTGTATCGGCCGTTTAATAATAGATCTATGCTATCATTTTCAGCCGTTTTATCGAATTCATGAAATCACGCATTAAACTATTCAATTGGGTATTGGTCGCAATTTATCTTTGACTTACCTATATTTTTAAGCTTCTCCCACGACGCAATTCAAACGTCCAATTCAATACTCATACGGCCCGCGTGCTAATAGTTGAATAAAAATTATATACGATAAAAATCATTTACTTTCAAGATAAAATTTATAGTAAATTATCAGAAATGTTCCATTTGGATTTTCCATAATATTGACATTTTAGTT